TTGAGACAGAGTTTGTTCCCTCTTGTTGCCCAGGCTGGAGGTCAGTGGCACAATCCTGGCTCACTGCAAACTTTACCTCCAGGGTTCAAGCAATTCTCCTGTCTCAGCCTCCCGAGTAGCTGGGATTACAGGTGCATGCCACCATGCCTGGCTAATTTTTGTATTTTTAGTAGAGATGGGGTTTTACTATGTTGACCAAGCTGGTCTTGAACTCCTTATCTCAGGTGATCTACTTGCCTCAGCTTCCCAAAGTGCTGGGATTACAGGCGTGAGCCACCACACCCGGCCACCAGGAAGCTCTTTAAACCCAAATTCTCAGACCCCACTTCAGCCTACTACAACAGAATCCCTAAGTGTGAAGGGTTTACTTTCAAGAAATGTCCTTTTTTAGGAGCAAAAAGTTTCTAATTTTCTCTAGAGCCTGGTGTGCCTTTCTTAACATGTCTTTCTCATTTAATTCAGAAAACACAAACACACACCTTTCTTTTCTACCCAGATGCAATCAATTATGTATCCTCCCTTTTTCTTCAAACTCACTTCTGAAAACCATCCCTGGTTCTGCAGAAGCTGTAAGTGAGGTAGTCATTCAGGGAATAAGCTCCAAAATCAGACAGTGTATAGTTCCAAATGCTGGCTCTCCTACCTACTTGATGTACAACTCTGCACGGGTTACTTAATCTTTTTATGCTTTGGTTTCTTTATCTGTAAAATAGAGATGCTAACTATATCTACCTGATGACATCCTTGTGAAAATCAAATAAAATAATCCATGTTTAGCACCTAACAAAAATGTAGCTTTAAAAAATGTTTGCAGGCTGGATGTGGTAGCTCACACCTGTAATCCAGCACTTTAGGAGGCCAAGGCAGGTGGATTACTTGAGAAATGAAGACCAGCCTGGCCAACATGGTGAAACCCTGTCTCTACTAAAAACACAAAAATTAGCCAGGTGTGGTAGCAAGCGCCTGTAATCCCAGCTACTCAGGAGGCTGAGGCAGGAGAATTGCTTGAACCCAAGAGGTGGAGGTTGTAGTGAGCGAAAATCGTGCCACTGCACTCCAACCTGGGTGACAGAAATGAGACTCCATCTCAAAAAAAAAAAAAAAAAAAAAAAAAAAACTCTTTTTTTTTTTCACTGTAGCCAAAATAGTTGGTCAACCCTGCTAGGTGTGGTAAGTCTGATGAGGAAACCTAAGGAAAAGTCCCTATATTAATTTGCTAGGGCTGCCAAAACAAAGCACCACTAGCTGGGTGGCTTCAACAATGAAAATTATTGTCTCGTGGTTCTGGAGACCGAAGTCCAAGATCAAAGTGTCATCAGTATTGGCTCCCCTGAGGGCTGTGAGGGAAAGGTCTGCCAGGTCCCACTCCTCGGCTTGTATATGCAGTGCCCTGGGCGGTCTCCCTGAGTGCATGTCTGCCTCTTTACCTGCCTTTTTCTTTTTTAAGCACGTCAGTCATAATGAATTAGGGGCCCACTCTATTCCAGTATGACCTCATTTTAAATTAACATCCACAACAAACCCATTTCCAAATAGGGTTTCTTTCTGATGTACTAAGAATTAGGACTTCAGTGTATGAATGGAGGGAGGTGGACATGGACACCATTCAACCCATATCAGTCCCTTATTGCAGGTAGATAATGATACAGTCACTGAGGAGACAATTCCTAAAAGTACGCTTGTAGATTTACATACCTGAAAGAGCCCCCAAAGGGTCCCAAGACAGTGTCTGATGGTGTAGTTTGGCATTACCAAGAATCCAAAAATCAGAAAAGACCACTGTGCATCAGACAAGTCCAGGAAGGTGACAGGGAAGAAATGGTATTTTCTCTCCCTTAAGACAACATGGCCTCTGCTGGCCAGGATCCCTAGCTGCCCAGACTACTTTGAGGGAGGTAAGGAGACAGCTCTCTCTCTCCCTCCCTATCTCTCTATATGTATCTCCCCATTCGCCTTCTTCTTCCCCTTCTCTGTTCTCTTCCCCTTCCCCGCCCCTCCTCTCTCTCTCTTCTTCCTGGCACCCCACACAGACCCTGGATCAGAAAAGTGAACCAGGGGAGCATGAAGTTGCTCATCCCTTCTCAAGCAGCCCTCCCTATACTCAGCCAGGTCAGTAGGGAGCCTCAGGGCCTCAGCCTGGGCGAACCCATTCCCCACACAGCCTTCCTCTGCTGAGGCGAGAACTGAGGAAAAGAGAGCTCTTCACTCAATGCTGTCACTTTGGGGGGTCTCAGCAGCCCCAGCCTCCCTTCAGCTGCTTTCACCCTGCAGGCCCTCCCCTACTCCCTGCTGGCCCTGGCCTTGCTCATGTACCTGCCAGTGCTGCTGTGGCAGTATGCAGCTGTGCCAGCCCTCAGCTCCGATCTGCTGTTCATCATCAGCGAACTGGACAAATCCTATAATCGCTCCATCCGCCTGGTGCAGCACATGCTGAAGATCCGGCAGAAGAGCTCCGACCCCTATGTGTTCTGGGATGAGCTGGAGAAGTGAGTTGTCTCTTCCATCTTTTTCTGAAAAATTCACTCAAGCGTTAAAATGGTATCTTTGCATAGTCATCTTTAAATGATCTTCCATGCCATCCTTCTTAAGAAAGCAACGTGCTTAACACATCATCTCATTAACTTTCTAGTGTTTCTGTAAAGGAAGAGAGAAGGGACCCTTTCTCTAGTGTACAGGTGACCACACTGAGCCCACAAAGGAATTCATCTCTCTGGAATTCCACTTGCGTACACCACTCCCTTCAGAAACCTTAAATAGCTCCCTTCATGCCCACCAAAAATACCCAAATTTTCCCAAATATATGTTCAAGGCCCTCAGCACACTGTCACCAACTACCTTTTCAAAATTCTAACTACCAGGTGACAAAAACCTTTCACTGCACCTAGGCAGCCTCCTCCTTTTCCCCTGAACAAATCATTTATCTATTTAATCATCCCTCCACCTGCAAACAGGCACTGTCCTGGGTGCTTCTGATACATTCGTGTGTATGTGTTGGGGGTGAGGGCAGGAGAGACAAAACTGTACCTACCCATGTGGAGTTTACATTCTATTAAGGAAAAGCAGACGAATAAACAGAACGCAGGAGTGAAATATATGTTCTGAGATAATAAGTGGAATGAAGAAAAGAAAAAGTAAAGTAGGGGCAGGAGGAAGCTGGAGGGATAGTTTTATACAGAGTGGCCAGGCTAGACCGCACAAGGGGACAGTTGCGTTAACATTTGACCCGTATTTATGCACATACTCTATCCTCTGAAAAATATTCATCTCTACCTTTTGAAGCCCAGATTTCAGTCAATATTTTCCGTAAGTGTTTCTGAACACTGAAGGCCACACTGCTACCTCGTCTCCTAAATTTTGCAGCTACTACAGTTTGTGTCCATGATTTTAGCAACAAACCAAGTGTCATTTTTATTCCATATCTGCATGTCTTATCTGCCCCTTCCTCACAAGCCAGGCTCTAAGCTTCTTCAGAGCACAGACTGGCTTACATGTACCTGAACACCATAGCTCTCAAGAAACATTTGTGAGCCAAATTATTTGTGTAAAATGAATGAATTGGCCCAAAAATCATACACATAGTACACAAGCCAAGAACCAGAATGAACTTTTTTTTTTGGAGACAAGGTCTCGCTCTGTTGCCTAGGCTGGAATGCAGTGGCACATTGGCTCATTACAGTCTGTCTCCTGGGCACAAGCAATCCTCCCTCCTCAGCCTCCCGAGTAGCTGGGACGATAAGTGTGCACTACCACACCCAGCTAATTTTTGTATTTTTCTCATGGAGATGGGGTCTCACTGTGTTTCCCAGGGTGATCTCAAATTCCTGGGTTTAAGGGACCCTTCTACCTCGGCCTCCCAAAGTGCTGGGATTATATGTAGGCATGAGCCACCATGCCTGGTCCAGAGTATACTTAGCTAAACTTCCAGTCCAGTGCTAATTTCATAAGTGTATTCTAAAGCTCCTACTTCAGCTTAGAACTTCTATCTGCCTTGCCAGGCAGAAATCCAGTGTAACAAATCATTACTCACTGATCATTCACTGGGTTTATCACATTGCAGTTAGAACTTGGAGAATCAGGATATACTCACATGCCTCTGTTTTGGGGAGAAGTATGGGTATGTTCGGGGAAGGCAGATTTTCATGGGAGCCAAGAATGCCATGTTGAAAACACAGATCTGTTGCTTCGTCACATGGCTCTCTTGGAGTTTGGTTCTAAATGGTCACTACTAACTTTGCCTCCTTTCTTCCACTGCCCAGGGCTCGGAAAGAACGATACTTTGAATTCCCTTTGCTAGAGCGGTACCTGGCATGTAAGCAGCGTTCACATTCACTAGTGGCTACCTACTTTCTGAGGAACTCCCTATTGCTCCTCTTCACCTCCGCCACTTACCTATACCTTGGTCATTTCCATCTGGATATCTTCTTCCAGGAAGAATTCAGCTGCTCCATCAAGACAGGGCTGCTAAGTGATGAGACCCATGTCCCCAGTTTAATCACGTGCAGGCTGACATTGCTGTCCGTTTTCCAGATTGTTAGCCTCTCCAGCATAGCAATATACACCATATTGGTTCCAGTGATAATATACAACCTCACACGACTATGTCAGTGGGACAAACGACTCTTATCTGTCTATGAGATGCTCCCAGCTTTTGATCTCCTCAGCAGAAAGATGCTAGGATGCCCCATCAATGACCTCAATGTGATCCTTCTTTTCCTCCGAGCTAACATCTCTGAGCTCATCTCTTTTAGCTGGCTGAGTGTCTTATGTGTGTTAAAGGAAACAACCACCCAGAAGCACAAGATTGACACAGTAGTTGATTTTATGACTTTATTGGCTGGCTTAGAACCCTCAAAACCCAAACACCTCACCCACCCTGCATGTGATGAACACCCATAGTTAAAAAGCCATGGAGCGGCCGGGCGCGGTGGCTCACGCCTGTAATCTCAGCACTTTGGGAGGCTGAGGCGGGTGGATCACAAGGTCAAGAGATCGAGACCATCCTGGTCAACATGGTGAAACCCCGTCTCTACTAAAAATACAAAAAATTAGCTGGGCGTGGTGGCACGTGTCTGTAATCTCAGCTACTCAGGAGGCTGAGGCAGGAGAACTACCTGAACCCAGGAGGCGGAGGTTGCGGTGAGCTGAGATCACGCCATTGCACTTCAGCCAGGGCAACAAGAGCGAAACTCCGTCTCAAAAAAAAAAAAAAAAAAGAAAAAGAAAAAAAGCCATGGAGCAAGGGATTCTTCTTCATAATACATGCATACTAATACACACACACACACACACACACACACACACACACACACAAAACACACTTTAGAATTGCTAAGTTTGGATTTAGCTGAATATCTTTTATCGTGTTATCCTAAAAGTAAGAAGACATAATCAAGACATGGAAATAAATGTGAAAGCTGGTGCTGAAGAGTTAAAGAGAGAAAAAATTAAATCTAGAACATTCTATGACGATAGTATAAATAAAAAGAAATAAAGTCTAGACATGCTGCAAGGAAAGAAGATTCTAAAGGCCATTTATGGAGGCAATTCCATAATCCTTCTAGGATGTGCATTCCACTTACCCCAGAGAGCAAGTGAGGCAAGCTGTCAAGAGATTAATAAAGATGTAAACCCCTGGAAACCCTCTGGTGTGGCCTGAAATCCTAGGAATTTACCCAGCTTACTCCGTGGAAGTTATCAACCTTGCCCAAGTCCTCTGTAGCCTCCAAAGTGCACTGGGAGATAATGGCTTCAATTTGTAATCTGCTCTTGGGATGTAAGGACATAGTAGAAAAAGGCCAGGGCCATGTTTCAGCCATGAGTGGGGGCTTCAGATACCCAGATACACTTTCACCATCTAAACCAGGAACTCATTCCACCAGGGGCTGTGATTATGGGCTATGGACTCCTTCACAGCTGTTAATGGGGCCAGGTATGCTTTTAGTACTCCAGAGAATACTATGCCTTCCCTTATAGCCAATCACTGCATAGCAAGCACTTAGAAATGGGTAGACAGTAAAGTCCTATTGAACTTCTTTCTCTCCTGATTTATCACCCCATTTTAGCTTCTAACTCCTATTCCTACACCTGTAGTTAATGGAACTTTGATCTGACTTCAAAGATGACACTCAGACACAACATCATGCTGTCTGCCATTTTATATTTCTTTTTAGGGCTGCATATTATGCATTTCATTAGAGAATTTTAGCGTAGGCCATTTACACCCTTCTTCATAAAGTAGAAAAGTTATGTTGCTTCTGACAAATTCAGTTAAGTCTACCTAAAACAAGCAAAGAGCTGATAGACATTCATCAATGGTTTCCTATTGTCACTGGGTTCAAGTCCAACTCTTCAGTTGGTACACAAGACTTTCCATGACCCAAACCCTACTTACTGCTTCAGTCTCCCCTCTTGCTTCTCTCTACACACATCTTTCACACTGATCAACTACTTGTAGTTCCCATGCTTCTCACTATGCTGACCCTTTGAATATGCTGTCTCTACCACCCAGCATGCCCTCCTTTGTTCTTCACTGGGCCAGCCAACTACTACCATTCCTTCAGAGTCTGCCCAGATAATCTCCTTTAAGAAACCTTTCCTATCTTCTCCCTCCTTCGCTGACTGGGTGCTGTCAAATAAAATAAAACCTATGAAATAAACTTATTACACCATATTAACATTGCCAATTTACTTCTCTGTCTTTCCTTCTTAAACTAAGGTTCTTAAAGGTGGTATCATAATTGGCACTAAGTAAATATTCTTCTAAACATATAAGGAACGAGTTGCTCAGTGGCATCACCTTTTTGGAGCACACAGATCCAGCCTCTAAACAGTCCTACATGGAAAAAGCTTTGTACACAAAGATGTGTTTTTAATGGAATTGACCAAAAAGACAAAGAACATGGAAGTAATTATGCAAAATATAATACAGCCATAACTAGAATATCAACCAGCTACTTTATGCTTAAAAAGAAGCTATAGTAACACTTGTGAAATTGAAATGACATAATGGTAAATGAACAAAAAGGAAACTTTATTTTCAGTATTCTCTAATCTATATAAAAATGCATAAAATATTAGACACATATACTAACATGTTAAAAGTAGTTCATTCCAAATGGTTACATTATGGATTTTTTAAACCTTTCTTGTACTATATTTTCTAAATTTCTAAAGTTCGAATGAAATGCTTTGTAAGGGTTAGGAAATGCTTCAAATGAAGAACAAACAAAAAATATTTTCATGAAAATTCCACTGAATCCATTGGCCAGAACAGCCTGCAAACTAGGACAAAGGATAGCACTTTTCTTCCCACTAGATGTGATACACGTATGTGAACATAAATAATACAAATAAAGTCAGACCCCAAAGCCTGCAAGGACAAAATACAGCATGACAGCAAATAAATCAGGCAATCAACAAACAAGATTTTTTTAAAATAAAGAAAAAGGAAAAGAAAGAAAAGTCTCTTCCTATTACTGGGATTACTTTCAGGTTCCAAGGTAAAGCACCAGTCTATATTACCAAAGGCATTAATGTGGGTATTTTATGAGCTAAAAATAATCCTAGTATTTTCCAAAACTGAATAGATATGGCTGCCTTAAGTATGTTTGTGAAACACTGGCACCTAACTCACTCAGGTCTTGTTGGAGCAGTTTACAATATGGATGATCATAAAAAGAATTCCATAAGCTTTCCTCTGTATTAAACCGATTTTGCCAAGACCCTGTCACTGCTTTTACTATTTTCAGAAATTAAGTACCTGGGTCATCAGTTCTAAACCTGTTTTTTATTCTGACGATAGCTTACGTATTATAGTGTTATGTTTTTCTCCAGTAGTGAACTTACTGTTTTAACTATGTAACATATTTCCTGAATTTCTACACTTCTAAGAGTCTACATTTTGAGCCGGTTACGGTGGCTCACCCTGTAATACAAGGCAGGCAGATTATCTGAGGTCAGGAGTTTGAGACCAGCCTGCCCAACATGGTAAAACCACATTTCTGCTAAAGATACAAAAAGTAGCGAGGCATGGCGGCGGGCGTCTGTAATCCCAGCTACTCGAGAGGCTGAGGCAGGAGAATCGCTTGAATCCACGAGGCAGAGGCTGAAGTGAGCCGCATCGCGCCACTGCACTCCAGCCTGGGCGGCAGAGCCAGACTCCGTCTCAAAAAAAAAAAACAAGAAGCCTACATTTTGAAAATGTAACAGTCATTATGTATCAATAGAGTATTTTACAATGTAGAAATCCCATTCACCTCCACTATTACAAACTTCAGAATCCAAAGACCATATTCAGGTTAGAGAGAAAAAAAGAGTTACTAAACTAGATATTGCCATCGCTGGAAGAAGATGCAAGCCTTCTGCCATCCGGCCTGGGTCATTTACCAATACTGCACCATAAAGATTTGTCTATCCACCTTAATTTTAAATAGACCTTGTTTATAAAGTTAGAACCACATAAACGTACATATTATGTACAGAAATATACTTCTGGCTTCAGTAGGCAAACATTTACTGAGTGCCCGCTTAGTGCTAGTATTAAAACTGCGTGTTAAATCTTTCATCTTCCCTACTAGAAAGAGCCAGGGCGTTTCTTCCTATTCACTACTGCGTTCCCAGCTCCTAGGAAGATCATAGCATTAGAAGGCCCTGCAAACACATTTCTGTGAGCTGCATAAAGGAATGAGACAGGTAAGGAAGCAGAGTCCCAGCACTTGCGTTCCCTTTGTTCTATAGCCTGGGGAAAGCCTGTCTGCTCCACGCATGAAAAACGTGTTGAAATGCAGTGGCCGTGCGGGGGACCGTGAACGAGAGCTCGCGTTGGTAAGCTTTTTGTTTGTTCGCGAGTTAGTTCAACAATAGTACCCTTCAGCTAAGCACAAAGACGCCCGACGTCCGGATTCCGATTCTGGCCGTCGGCCATCCCTCCTCTCCTCTTCCCGCACTCCCCCCAGCCCTTTCTTTCCTCCAAGCTGGCCAGGGATTGCACCACCAGACTAACTACTCTCCCTGCCCCGGAAGTTACACGCGGCCGGCACCGTGACGTAACTTCCGGGAATGGCTTACTTCCGAGAGAGACACGGAAGTACTGAGAGGATCCGGGAGCCGGGTGGGTTGTTAGGGTCTCTGGCTCTGCGGTCAGTCCTGGGAACGCCTCGGAGAGCTGGATTCCTAGAGTCCCGATTCCACTGGCACCGAACAAACGAAGCCAGCGCTCCTGCCTGCTCCCTGACCTAGGATCCGATGCCGGCCGCGTCTTGGGGCCCCCGTAGCGGGGCTGGACCATGAGCCTGCTGGACGGCCTCGCCTCTTCGCCGCGGGCCCAGCTGCAGTCCAGCAAGGTCAGGATGAAAAAGCTTCCGAAGAAGAGCCAGAACGAGAAGTACCGGCTGAAGTACCTGCGGCTGCGCAAAGCGGCCAAGGCCACGGTGTTTGTGAGTCTGACCCGCGTCCAGCCAGTCTCCGCCTGGAGACTCCCCCACGAAGTCTTTCCCCAAGCGTTCCCCCTCCTCTCAGGGTGACAGTATTAATATAGTGTTGGCTTTTCCATATACACTACTACTTGTTAGCCTTGTGTCCTTGGACAAATTACGTAATTTATCTGTCCTAATCTGTAAATGAGATAATAACTACCTTGCAGAATAATAAAGATTAAATGAGCAAAGAAAAGTGCTTGGTGCCTAGAAGATATGCCAATAAATTTTAGTCATCGTTATTATTGCAAAACTCTAGGAAATGTGTTTGATTCTCGAGATACAGCCCTGAGAATTAGGCATTATTTTTAAAATGAGAATACTGAAGCCCAGAGAGATGATTTGCCCAAGGGTAGTGTGTCAGAGCCCTGACCCCACCTTAAGATGCCGTGATTCTATTTTATAAATTCCACTACACAGCCTATTTTCTGAGCA